GGTTGTTTCCAACTCTTTGCTATTGTGAACAAAGCTGTGATAAACATGGGTGAGCATTCCATCTAAATTTTTCCAGTTGTTATTTGATGTTTGGAGCTGTTTATCCTCATTTTGAGTCTTGTCACGTCAGCAAAGGGCCTTCCTTGGGTGGAAGCTTTGTTCTGTCCACGTTGTGATGATAAGTCTGTGCTGCCCAGTCGCCTTCTGAGTCCTTGCAACCCGAGGGCTCCTCTTCGGTGCCAAATGATCCCGTCGGTGTTCTGGTGTTAGGAGGGTTTCCAAAGCCTGCTGCGTCAGAAATGGACGGACTGTCTTTCTTCCTAGTTTGTCTTACTCTCTCCTAACCCCATTCAGTGGGGGTGGGCCTGCTGATGTTTTAAATCCAGGTGGCAGAGTGTCCAGAGTCACCATAGCACACAGGTCCCTGCAGACAGACAGGTAGTTTAGTTTAGTGCTGGTTGTTTAGTGCTGTGACAGAGATACCACAAGTGGGTGGTTTTAACAAGCAGTCATTCTCAGTTTGTAACTGTTGTTGTGAGGTGTCACCAAGCTGACGATGACATAGTGTTGTGAACTCACCCTGTCCTGCTCAGTCCTCACAATCTGTGCCACACTCAGGCCCAGTGTGATAGTCACAGCGGTGATCCGTCCCTCTGAGGGTCTTCCTCTCCTCCTGATCTACCATCTTTTCCAGCACGATGCCGTTTTTCAAGAACTGCTCCCTCCTGAAAACGTGTCTGATGTCTGTGATATCAGCTATCTATGCAGCACGCTGGTTGCGCTCTGTCCCAGACAGATGTGTTTGTTCTTTTGGCAACATGAAACGCACAATTCTCTTTACCAGATTACAGTCCCAAAACCGCAATTCTTCTTTGATCTTCCTTAGTCATTGTCCAACCTTTAGATGCATGGGAAGCAACTGAAAATGCCATGGCCTGGCTCAGGTGCACCTTAGTCTCGAAATGGATATCCTTGCTCTTCCCTGCAGTTTAGGAGGCTGCCTGTTCACACAGAGGATGCTGACTCTGGGGAGGCTCTCTCGCTGTGTCTCCAGTTCTAGAAGTTCCTCTGGGCAGAGACTGGGTCTAGAGGTGTGTCCCACCCCTGGGTCTCCTTTCATGATGTTAGTGAAGCCCTTCCTTTTCTGTTTGCCTCTGTGTCTATGATGCAGGCCACAGCCAGGGAAATGCCTCTCGGTGAGACCACGCTGTGATGGAGGAAGGGCCACTGGAATCCCCTTACAGCTAATTGGTGGCTCACACTTGAGAGCAGACTCTGAAGGTGGTCACACATTGTGCCTGCCTGGAGTCCTGTCTGGTGTGCGTGTACAGGTCTGCCTCTGGCACTCTCCGATGGTTACGGGACGTTGAGAACCGTGCCCTGTCAAGCTGACACGTGTTTGGGGGTACAGTTAGATCCATGACAGCATAACAAATTTGTGCTCACTGACTTCTTTTCCTGGTTTCTGTGGATAAGATTCTAAGCATGGGTCCCGACAGGGCTGAGATTGGGGTTTCTCCTGGGCGGTACCCCCATCTGGGTCCCCAGGTTTGAGATTGGGGTGTTTCCTAGACTATACCCCCATGAGCATCCCCACAGGGCTGAGGTTGGGGTGTCTCCTGGGCTGTACTCCATCAGGATCCACACAGGACTGTGATCAGGGTGTCTCCTTGGCTGTACCCCATATGAGACCTCACAAGACTGAGAATGGGATATTTCCTGGGTTGTACACCCATCTGCATCCCCACAGAGCTGAGAGTAGGGTCTTCTGGGCTGTACTCCTGCCTACATCCCCACAGGGCTGAGATTAGGGTGTCTTCTGGGCTGTACCCTCATCTGGGCCCCCACAGGGCTGATATTGGGGTGTCTCCTGGGCTGTACCCCTGCCTGCATCCCCACTAAGCTCAGATAGGGGTGTCTCCTGGACAGTGTTCCCATCTGGAAACCCAGCCAGGACAAGGCCCTTTTCCAAGATGTCTGTGATCCTCGGTGGACTTGGTTTCTCTGTGGGTGTGGAGTTGGTGCTGCCTGTAACCTGAAAGCCAGTGACAGAAAGCGAGTCTCTGTTCTCCACGTCTCTGATGTCAGGGCAGCCTGTACCCTCCCTCATGGACACGGCCACACAGATCAAGCCACTCAGGACAGTGTGCCCTTGAATTATCCTCAAGGTCGGCTGGTGTGTGGTCTTAATTATGTCTGAAAATCTCCCCACCTTTGCTCTTACTGTAATATCCTCACAGGAGTGGTGTCCCATCTTCCTGACAATGGCCAAGTTGTTCTAGTGGTGCTGTGATTAAGGCTGTCGACTGCTAGCCAAAGGAGTGAATGATGCTTTAAGCCCTCCAGCTGTTTCACAGGAGAAGGATGAGGCAGTGACCTCTCATCCCATGAAGCTTCGAGCCTTGAAACCCCGTGGGGGTGCTGCTGCATCCTACAGTGTTCCTATGAGTTGTAACCAGCTCCAGTCTATTTCTCAGATTTGTAGTGTTTGGTCAGAAGCAGGTCAGAGACTCTGTCCACAGTGGAGTGAAGGGACCGCACACGGGCATGACCCATCAGGCGCCCTTTGCTCTGTCCATTATGAGTGTTGTTTCCTATGCTCACAGATGTCCTACTAATGGACAGCTCTTCAAGGCAGCTAAGCTCTGACACTTGTTCCCACACTCAGGGACCCTGCTGCTGTCAGTGACCCTGCTTCTAATGTTCTCTGGGTACGTAATTACCTTAGAACTCAGGTACACACATCTCCCCTCACTCACAAAGCAAGAGGTGTCCTCCGTTATAGAGAAGATAACACTCTGCAGTGTCTGTCTGTTCCCCCAGACCCAGCCCCACAGCCCTCGATTTCTGCTCCCCCTCCCCAATCCAGGCCATGCTTGCCGCGTAGGATCTGCTCCACTGTAGCCACACCAAAGGGCTGTATCCTGCCTGTACCGTGGCTTCCCATCCTGCTCGCGTGCAGGTGTGTGCACACACGTGTGCACATACAGGTACATGAGTGTGTATGCATATTGGCCAGTGTGCATATGTGCTGATGTGTATGTGTGTGCATGTGTTCCAGTGTGTGTGTGTGCTTGTGAACACACATGGGCCAGTGTGCCCGTGTGTGTGTGGGTCAGTGTTCCTGTGTGTGTACACACACATGTTCCAGGGTGCATGTGTGTATGTGTGTGGGCACATGGGCTGTAGAGTCCAGGTCTACAACAGGTCCGAGAGTGAGGAATTAAAGAGACTTAAGATAAGACATAAAATAGTTGAGAAGCAAGGGATGAAAGACTTCAAGAATCATAAGTGATTTTATTTAGAACAGGCAATACTTTTAAGCAAAATCTTCAAATTATTAATATGCCATAAAACACATGGTAGCAATTATAGCAGGAATATAAACATTTTCTCAAGAGCATTCTTTCCGTGTAAACATTTACCAGTGGCTTTACAAGGGACATGTTTCTAATGCTTACTCAGAGTCTTATTGGGAAGGCTTTGTTCCAGGAGGTTCTCCTATTATCAAACCTGCTGTCACTTGGTCTGCAGGATGGCCACGCGGTCAAAGGCACCAGCTCTGTTTGTAAGTTAAACATCTCTTAGGTCACCCACTGGTCATGTCCTCTTTTAACTCCACAGTGGGCATGTTTGTGTGCATGTGGGCCAGTATGTGTGTGTGCACACAGGTGCCAGTTTGTAGATGCCTGCACAGAAATATGTGAGTGTGCACGTGTGTGCACATGTGTGCATGTGTTAGTGTCCACGTGTGTGCAGCTCTATATTTGCCAGTGAGTGCTAACAAGTGACTGTGAAGTGTGCATGAGTATGTGACTGTATGTGTAGTTTATGTGTGTTTGAACGCGTGCCCACGTGAATGTATGTGTGAGCTGTGTATGAATGCATGTGCGTGTGTGTGTGTGACTAACGTATTTGTGTGTGTTTGTCAATAATATGTGAGTTAATGTAGAGTTGGTAAACAGTGCTGACTATCCCATGGACCAAAAGAACACACACATCTGACCTGGAGGAAGTGTGGCCAGGGTGCTCCTTGGAGGCCGGCTGGTGACACTTGGCCTCACGTTCTTTGGGAGTGTTGTGTAGTGGGACCAGTCCCTGGAAAAAGACATCATTCTGGGAAAGGTCACGGGAGGAGAGGAAGACTCCCGGTGAAACGGATTGACACAGTGACTGTTACAATGGACTTGAGCATGGCGGAGGTTGAGGATGGTGTAAGAGGTTGAGGATGGTGTCAGGTTGCTCAGGGTTTTGGTATGTTGTTTGTACAGTCCCTATGAGTTGTAGTCAAATTGATGACAATAACTAAATGGACCTTTGCATAGCAGGGTTTGCATATATTAAGTGGCGAGGGTACATCAGTGTGACTGTGTAAGCAACTCCGTGTACAAGAGCCTGTGACTTTTAGTAAAATCCATATGATCTATATATTTCCCATCCAAATAAAACTCATAAGCAAAAATCCCCCACAAAACTTGATGATGAAGCTGGAATGCACAGACCAGGTTAAGTCTCCTCTGGAGCTCCTCTCCTGTCCCCCCCAGAGGTGGACTGCTTGTGCCCACCTCCAGAGCCCTCCCACCTCCACACACACCTGTGTCTACCCACACCTGCTCTCACAGCTGCCCCCTCACTCTGTCCTCTCACACTTCCCCCAACAACTCACACCTGCACCCAACATTCGTGCCCTCACACCTGAGTCCTCCCGTCTGTGCCTGACACCTGCATTACCCACCTGAGTCTGTGCCCAGCATCTCTGCCCTTACAGCTGAGCTCATACACTTGTGCCTGCGTCCTCCGCCCTCGCTCCCACTTCTGCACACCTGGACCTGCCCAGCTGAGCCTGAGGCATCTAATGAATGCTTCTGAAGATTTTCTTTCAGCAAAGCTGAGGCATCTCATCAGTGCATCTACCTCATGCACCTTGGAGAACTTCTGCAGAGAAAGAAATCAGTCTACATTTCAATTCTTCAGTCTAAAATAAGTTCTTTTAACTTTAGGAAAAAAAGATTTTTTCCATCTATGGACACTACCCAGTGATCCGGGCCACTCTGCGGAGAAAGGGCTGGGTAGAGAAGAAGTTCCACTTTCTGCCCAAGGGTGTTGTGCACGCGGAGGATGGCAGTGAAGGGGCGCCTGGTAGAGTATTAAGATGCTTGTCTCTGTAAGACGCCCACTTGGGCTGCAGGCAGAAGTAAGCGGCCTCTTCCAAGGCTGCATGCTGCCCCGAGCTCTGCCGGCTCCTGTCTGCGTCTGACTTGCCCCTTCCTCTCCCAAGTGGGAGGTCACCCTTCCCGCTTCCTTGGTCTTGGGTCTCCCATGCCCTTGGAGAGGCCTTTGCAACCCTGCTGCTAGCCCAGGAGTGGGTCACATCTCAGTGTCCCTGAGGTCTCCGGGGTGGTTTCTGACAACCCCTGGAGCCCTTGGCCACCCTCCTCAGGGGACCCTCTCCCCACATTGAATGCCCGTTCCCTACAGTGGAACACTCCTCTCCATCAGATATCCTTTCTCAGCGGGATGTTCCTCCTGGTGGGACAGCCTTCCCTCCGTGGGGATCCCCTCCCAACGCTGGATTGGCTGAGATGGCCCTCCCAGCATTGGAGAGCCCTCCCCCAGTGGGTCGCCCCTCCCCCACTGAGTGTCCAGGCATCCTCCTTCCAACATTGGTTGATGCTCCTCCATTGGACAGCCTTCCTCATGGGACACCCCTCCTCCCTGACGTTCCCCTGTGGGAGGCTCCTCCCCGTGTGGCCACACCCCGTCCCTGGGACGCCCCTCCCCCTCCACGGGACACCCCCCCACGGGAGCCTCCCCTCCACGGACGCCCCTCCTCCTCCACGGAACACTCCCCTCCAGGAAACATCCTTCCCCCTCCACGGGACCCCCTTCCCCCTCCATGAACGCCCCTCCCCCTCCACAGGACGCCCCTCCCCCTCCACTGGACACTCCCCTCCAAGGAACACCCCTCCCCCTTCCCAGGACCCCCCTCCCTCTCCGTGAACGCCCCTCCCCCTCCACAGGACGCCCCTCCAGCACAGCCCTCTCACTCCGCACTAGGGGGCATTGCAGGTCATGCAGGCCTCAGGGTGGGCAGGTGCTGTTCTTGGTTCTTGCCCTAGGACAGCACCTGCACTGGACCTGCCCTGAGAACCCATTCGGGAGGGTCGGCATGGGCCCTGCCCAAGGTGGGATCTTCCCATCAGTGGGACCTTTGTGTGCGTCAGCTCTCGTCCTGTGATTTGTCTGCAGACAGCAAAGGCCCTGACGCTGGAGAGAACTCGGATATGATTGTCGAGGACACTGAGGACATCCATGATGTGATGGTAGGCTGTATCAGCAATATGGGGGTACAAGGAGGGCATCCAGGATGTGATGCGGGGCCGTCAGTGTCAGTATTACGGGGGTGATGACAGCCCCCTTGAGATGTAGCAGAGCCCCCACAGGAGTGAGGAAGTCGGAAGGAGGGCCAGCCCCACTGTGGGCTCGTCCCTGCTCCTTGGTTCCGCCCCCACTGCTGTACAGGACACTTCCTTCGGGTCGTTGGAAAGGCTTTTTCTTGCTAGTCTAGGCTGGTGAAACATGAAATGCCCTACTTCCTCTGGACCATCAAGAGGGATGTCGTAGATTATCACAACCTGAGCTGTGACCAGATGCTGAACCACTACGGGAAGACAGCGTCGTTCACCACCAAGGTGAGTGGGGCTCCAACACCTACCAGGGGGCTCCCAGGTTAGCTCGGACTCAGAGATGCCCTGTGCACAACAGAAGCGCTCTGGCCCCGCCTCTTCTCACACTCACTGCTGGGGCCGTTGTACCGCCCCTGCACCAGCCCATCTTGCTTGCGGAGCGTCTTCTCTTGCTGACTTTCTGCGCTGTCTCGCGTGCTCTCCTCTAGGCCTGGTCCCTCCTGAGAACATGCCTAAAGGACATGATGCTAATTCTCACAGCCCTGTTTCTAAGGAGCACTCTGACTGAGCGTCTTCCGGGATGTACACCTGTTCTCCCGGCAGTCCGCCGCGTGCGCAGTACTCTCAGCAGCACTAGAATCCTAGGGCATCACCTCCTCGTTGGGCTCCCTTCTTGCCCAGTGTTCACATGCAGATAAGGCAATTGGAAACACCCTGGGTGCCGGGTGCACTTTGAGGCAGGGAAGTCTGGACAGGCTCCATCCTGCGAGGCCTTGGGGCCCAGGGCTGTGCCCTGCTCACCCCTAAAGCTGGCCACAGCACAGCTGCTTGGACGTTGTACCATTCCCGGTTCTGGAGGCCAGCAGCCCCAGGCAGGGTTGGTGAGGTGGATTCTGCCGCTGGCTCCTGTCCTTTCTGGGATCTGCTGGTGGTCCTTTGTCCCTTTGTTTGAAGACAGGTCCCCACATGGTGCTTGTTCTCCCTCTGTGTCTGTTCTCTTTTTATAAGACATTAGTCATATGTTCAGGACTCACCCAGCTCTGGTATGACCTCATTAGGATAGCAAGAGAAAATGCCGTTCCAAACAGATCCAGAGATGTGGTTCTGTATCTCGGCATGGGAACCGACTCCAGGCTGACCTGCCAGCAGATTTTCAGAGGCTGTAAATCACATGGGAAGAGACTGCTCATCTGTTGAAGCACAAGCCGTGGGGTTGGCCTCACCCCTCTTTACCACTAAGCATCGGAGCTTCCTGATACAAAGATTCTATTAGGTTGTTGCTTGTTGCCACAGAGTCAAGTACAACTCGTAGTGGCCCTATTAACAGCTGAGCTGGACCTCTGTCTCACGGCGTCCTCAGGATCTGACACACTAGAACCTGTTGCTGAAGCCATGGTGACTTCACAAAGTCACTGGGGTCTTCCTCTCCTTTACCAACCCTCCGTCATGCCCCTTTCCGATGCAGAGCCTCACACGTGATACAGAGATCGGGACTACTTCATTTCTTTCTGGGGTCAGGGTGGGGGCCTGTCAGCCGTGGCTCAATCAGTAACATATACTGTAGAATTGAGTCGCGAGGTGGAATGAAGCTGCTCTCCACAGACAGAACGTGGATGAGCCTTAAGGACATCATGCTGAGTGTCTAGGCCAGACACAAAAGGACAAGCGGGCCGTGTGGGCTCATGTAGCAGGCACATCCCGAAGTGGCCCTGTCCGAGGTCTTCTCGGCTTCCTCCCTCCCTAATCCTCCTCACCCTGGTCCCAGGACACCAAGTCCTTTTTGTTGCACCCTAGCCCCAAATGCTCACCTCCATTTCCTTGAGGAGGTTCACAGGCTCTGCCCTGTACCCCAGGCATCTTGCCTTTGTGGCTTCTGCCCGGCCCCTGTCTCACATGGAACTGGCCCCTCCTCACCCCTCAAGTTCACCCACCGGCCCACTCTGTCTTGACCTGCCTGGAGCTGGACACCCTCTGTTTTTCTCTTATGTCAAGATTCAGGACCACTGAGACCCCTTATTGCCCCTTCAGCTCTCAGATCCCTGCCCCACCCCCACCATGCCCCACCTCAATCACCATGTGGTGCAGATGGACTGCAGGAGCCAGCCATCCTCCAGGGGGAGGCAGGGTGCCCACTCAGGGCTGAAGCTTTGATCTGGGAGGTAGCTCCTCCCCACGAGGCCTTGGCATCCACTGGGAGTGGTGAGAAGCCTCCCTTGTGGTACAAGGTCAAGTGCAGTCTTGGGGATGAAGTCTGCTCTTGTTATGTCCCAGAACACTCACTTCAGTGTGTGGGCAGAAAGCTTATCCCTGGTCATGATTCACATCTCACCACTCCAGGCCTCTCCACTGCCCAGCCAGGCCCGGGGGACCCTTAGATGCATAGCAGTCCTGAGTGACCAGCGCAGCAAGGGGATGGTGTGACCAGCTGTTGAAACCAGACAAATTTAGTCGGAGCCATGCCTGGACACACTCCACTTAGCCGACCTCTTTACTGTACCATGTTTGGTACCCTGTTGATGTCTTGGGTGGCCCTTGGGTGTCTGGGGACCGTGGGGGGAAGGCATGATGAGGAGCCAGGCAAGGGCATGAGAATGGTGTTAGTCCCACTAGGCCCCCATGTGTGAGCAGGAGGCCCTGAAGGGTGGGGGTCAAGCAGGTTGAGCTGCTGGAAAGGTGAGGTAGAGTTGGCTGGTGGTGGATGAGGGCTGCACGTGTCTGGCCCCTGGTGGAGGAGGTGTGAGCTATGGTGCCCTCTGCTAGAGGAATCCTTTACTGTGGTATCCCTTGATGGAGGCGTGGGCTGCATCGCCCCCTGGTGGAGGAGGTGTGGGCTGCAGCGCCCCTTAGAGGAGGAGGTGTGAGTTATGGCACACCCCCATCCCCCCCCACACACACACCGGTGGAGGAGGCATGGGCTATGGTTCACTCTGGTGGAGGAGGCATGCTGTGGTATCCCTTGATGGAGGCCTGGGCTGTGGCACCTGTTGGTGGAGGAGGTGTGGGCTATGGTGCCCCCTTGTGGAGGAGGCATGGGCTGTGGTACACTCTGGTGGAGGAGTTGTACTGTGGTATCCCTTGATGGAGGCCTGGGCTGCAGTGCCCCCTAGTGGAGGTATTGGTTGCAGTGCCCCCTGGTAGGGGAGGCCTGGGCTGCAGCACCCCTTGGTGGAAGAGCTGTGGGCTATGGCGCCCCCTTGTGGAGGAGGCCTGGGCTGTGGCGCCCTCTGGTTGAGGAGTCATGTTGTGGTATCCTTTGAAGACCTGGGCTGCAGCACTCCCTGGTGGAGGGAGGCATGGGCTGTGGTACACTGTGGTGGAGGAGTTGTACTGTGGTATCCCTTCATGGAGGCCTGGGCTGCAGCACCCCTTGGTGGAGGAGTTGTGGGCTATGGCGCCCCCTTGTGGAGGAGGCCTGGGCTGTGGCGCCCCCTGGTGAAGGAGGCATGGGCTGTGGTGCACTCTCGTGAAGTAGTCGTGCTGTGTGGTATCTCTTGATGGAGGCCTGGGCTGTGGCACTCCCTGGTGGAGGAGGTATGGACTGAAGCACCCCTGGTAGGGGAGGCCTGGGCTGTAGCACCTCTTGGTGGAGGAGGTATGGGGCTGTGGTGCCCTCTGGTGGAGGAGTAGTGCTGTGGTATCCCTTGGTGGAGGTGTGTGCTATGACACTGTGGTAAGAAAAAGCTGGAGCTTCTAGTCCTCAGTGCCTGGGGCTGGAGGATTTGTCTCAGAGACTTGCCTTGTGTGGACATGTTTAGCCATCACTGCTGTCCAGCATGTTAGCAGTGGGCCACTCACCCATGACCCCCAAAGTATGTACCACTCTGTGCCATGGGCTTGGGAAAACAGGAGTCTGCAGACAGACCTTCTCACAGGGCTGTCCTCTGAGACTGGGGGCTGGCCTGGGCCAGGGGTCCTCTCAGGAGACTGGGGGGAGGCACTGGGTGGCCAGCCTTGTGCTGTGCTGAGGCCGTGAGGAGTGCCTGGCACTGTGTGAGGTGGCCCTGCTGCTCTGTCTCCTGAGATTGGACTATGCGTCAACATGCGGAGCCTCCCGTGGTACGTCCAGGCGAATCCCGACTGCTTCTTCCCACGCTGCTACGGCCTCTGCACTGAGAGTGAGAAGCAGGAATTCCTGAGTGAGTGGAGGGTCCCATCTGGCTGCAGCCCAGGGCAGGCTCGCCTCTCGGGCCTTTTAACCTGTGTCCTCTGCTCGTGACCACAGGCTGCCCTGAGTTGGAGGGGGTGGGGTGAGAGGGCCAGTGTCACGTGAGGGCCTGTCTGGGTGAGGGTGGGAGCTTGGGAGTGGAGTGTCCCTGCCTTAACTGTTGACTGCAGGGTAGCTGCGCTTGGCCTGACATCTAGGGGTGGCAGAGATTACGCCTGTCATGACCCTGGTGTGGGTGGGGGAAGGTTGCTGTTCAGACCTCGTTTGGGGGCCAGAGGAGACAAGAGGGGAGTTCAGAGTGGTGGGCTGGCCTTTCCACCCCAGGCACCTCAGGGAGCAGCAGCTGAAGCCCCATCTGGACAGGCTCCTGGGGCGGGGGGCGAGGGGGTCATGAGGAGGGGGTGAGGGAGCAGCAGGGGATATGCCACTGGGGCTAAAGGGGTGGGCTTGTTTTGAACAGTGGCAAGCAGGGTGGGGAGCTCTGAATTGAAGGTGGCAGGATCCTGGTGTCATTGGACACCTGGACCCCCATGGACCACGGGAGGGAGGACTGCTCCCATCGTCCCTGGCAACGAGCCGGCATGGGTAGGCCGATGGGCCAGGGTCTCACTAGTGTGGGAAAGGGCAGCAGGTGCAGGGCTGGGGTGTCCACAAGTATGTGGAGGGGCAGTGGGAGGAGGTGTCTTGAGAGGAGGCACCCCTCTGATCAGAGCCAGCCCCATGCTGCCTTCTGTGCTGAGGGTGGGGAGTGGCGACGAGCAGAACTCCCTGGGTGGGAAGAGAACTGGAGAGTCCAGGGAGATGCTGGAGAGGAGATAGTTCTTGAGTTCAGATCCTCTGGTGCGCTGGGGAGGGCCCACTGATGGGAAAGTGGGCCATGGCTGGTCGAGGAGCCCGAGCTCTGGGAAGGGAGAAAGGACGGGGTAGCAAGCAGGGGAAGTGATGAGCGACCAGCGGGGGACAGTCTTCTCCTGCAGCAGAGTGGAAGGAAGGAGGAAGGGAGATGAGCGGCCCTGGAGCTCAGCCAGGCTGTGGGAGTGGTGCCCCACCGTCGCTAGGCAGAGGGGGCAAGGCGTGGTGTTCTTGCAGATGACTTCCGGCGCACTGCAGCTTTCAGCATCCTCAAGTGGGTTGTCAGTCACCAGAATGGCAAGGGCAAGTCCAAGAGCAAGCAGGAGGACGCCAGAGACAGTGACCGTGGCTGCAGGAAAGGTGTGTTGGGCCAGTGACTCCAGTCCTAACCTTGGTCTCAGCAGGCTGGCTGCTTGTGAGGCTGTGAGGGAACCCCTTCCCTGCTCCCGCCAGCGTCAATGGCCTCGGGGTGTAGGCACTGTTGGCACAATCCACAGTTGGGTCTGACCTGCAAGGGCATCACGTCCTCCTTCAGAACACATGTCTGCCTCCATCAGATAGTCTCTTGTTTCAGGCTGAGTTATCCTCTGCTGTACTCAGGACTGTTCAGTTCATAAAGTGAATTTTTATCTCTCCTGTGACAGTGTTCACGTCTAGTATATTTTTAGGAACCTTGGTGGTGCGATGGTTAAAACACTTGGCTGCTCACAGGAGGGTCGGTGGTTTGAAGCCACCACTTGCTCTGGTAGAACGATGTGGCTGTCTGCTCTGTGGGTTACAGCCTTGGGGACCCGATGGGCTCCAGCAGGATCGTGGGGGTTGGAATCCACTGCACGGTGATCACTGTGGTGCTGTCCTTGTCAATGCCCTGAGTCACCTACTGCTCACAGGAACTCGGGGAACAACAGACAGAGTCTACCCACTCCTTCCACTCATCCACGTGGGCCACTTTGTCTCTGTAGGTCATTAAAGACCTTCCTCACTTTCCCCGACCTTTCACATTTTCAAGATGATGTCTTTTTCCAAGGACGGGCCCCTTCTAACAACGTTTCCGGAGTATGTGAGTTGGAGTTCATAGTCCTCGCCTCCAAGGAACACGGTGATTGCACCACGTCTGACCGAGCCATCTGATCTTTTGGCAATCCGTAGTGCATTAAGTACTCTTCATTAAGACCACAACTCAAAGATCAGTTCTTCAGTCTCTTCTGTTCACTGCACAACTTTCATAAGCAACTGAAAATATCTTGACTTGGATCAGGCACACCTTATTCTTGGACTGGACATCCTTGCCCTTTAGAGGTTCTTGACAGCAGATTTTCTCAATGCAGCACATATTCCGGTTTTCTGATCTCTGCTCCATGAGGGTTGACATTGGATCCAAGCAAAGTAAAATCATTGACTACTCTGATCTTCATTTCTGTCTGTCATTGGGCTGCCTGGTAGTCTAGTTGGGAGAATTTTTGTTTTCTTGATGTTAAGGTGTAATCCATATGGAAGGCTGTAGTCTGATCTTTGGCAGTAAGCACTTCAAATTACTGCTTTCCACAAGTAAGATTGCGTTATATGTATAGGAAAGTTGTTGATGAGTCTTCCTCTGATCCTGATGCCACATTATTCTTCATACAGTCCAGCTTCTTGAAAGCTTTGCTCAGTCAGCATACATATTGAGTAGATACAGGGAGTGGACACAACCCTCATATACATCTTGTGCATGTTCTGTTTGAATGACTGCTTCTTGGTATCTGTGCAAGTTTTGCATGAGCACAATTAAATGTTTTGGGATTCCCATTCTTCTCAGTGTTATCCATAATTTATTAATATCCACAGTCGAATATCTTTGCATAGTCAATAAAACACAAGATAAGTAAACATCCTTTTGGTGTTCTGCACTTTCAGACAAGATTCACCCGACACCAACAATGATACTCATCATTCCACAATCTCATCTGAATTCAGCTTGGATTTCTGGCAGTTCTCTGTAATTTTAAAAAAAAGCTTCAGTAAGGTTCTAGTTGCATGTGATGTTAATGATATTGCTTAACAATTTCCACACTCTTTGGATCACATTTTCTTTTTAAATGAATCTTTTTCAGCTGGCTAGAAAGCTGCCTTCCACATTTCTTGGCATGGACTGGTGAGTGTGTCCAGGGTTGCATCCGTTCTAAAGCACTTCAGTTAATGGTCCATCGTTCCCAAGGCCTTACTTTCACTCACGCCCTCACTGCAGCTTGAGTGTCTTCTCTCGTTTCTGCTGACTCTGGATAATACACTGGTCCTGGAGAAGATTTCATGTTGACTTGCTTTTTTCCTCTTGATTCCATGACTGCTGGTATTTCTTCCATCTTCTTTTGGTTCTTTTATCACTCAAGATTTTGCCCATAGAATCCTTCAGTATTACAACTCAAGCTTGAATTTGTAGTGTATTTCTTTTAGCTTGACACATACTGGGTTTTGGTTTTCCTTTTGATTTCCTAACTCCACTCTTTGCATGTTTTGTTATATTGCTTTTTTTATATGTACTGTTTTATTTACAAAGTTCTAATACATTGATTGTTTTTCACACTGGATCTTTCCACTTTCCTTCATTCCCCAGTCCCTGATTCCACCCATCAAATTGTGTGACTCTATGATTAACAGCCCCCCACCTGTCCATCCTCTGCTTCCAACCCCCCTTGGATTCTCATACTTATTCTACAATAATGATCTTATACAATATTTGTCTTTATGGGACTGAGTTAGTTCAATTGACATAATGCTCTCCAGTCCCTCCCAAGTTAGGTAGTAATTTACAAAATCATTTCTCCTGAGTGCTGCATAGTATTTCATTGTGTGAATGTACCATGCTTTCTCAAGCCATTCCATTGCAGTTAGGCATGTGGGCTGTTTCCATGTTCTTGTGATGGTAAATAAGGCTTCTATGAACGTTGATGTACAAGTCTCTTTTTATGCCTAAGTTCTCATTCTCTTGGGGTATATTCCAAGCAGTGGAATAGCTGGGTCTTATGGAATTTCTATGTTCAACTTTTTGAGGAAGCGCCAGACTGCCTTCCAGAGTGGTCGTACCATTTTACAATCCCACCAACAATGTATAAGAATTACTGTCTTGCCACATCCTCTCCAACATTCTTTATTTATTGTCCTGTTAAACTTTGCCACTGCTAGTGGAGTGAGATGGTATCTCATTGCAGTTTTTATTTGCATCTCTCTTGCCAGTGATTTTGAGCATTTCTTCATGTGTTTGTTGGTCATCTGAATATCTTCCTCTGTGAAAATCTTTTCATGGCTTTTGCCCATTTTGTAATTGTGTTATCAGTCTTTTTCTTGTGGAAGCCCTGTAGGATTCTGTAAACTTTTGATATGAGACCCTTGTCTGAAATGGCATTGCCAAGTTTTTTTCCCCCCTCCAGTAAGTAGGTTTTCTTTTCACTCTGTAGGAAAATGTTTTTGATGCACACAGAGATTTAATCTTTAGAAGGTCCCATTCATCAATTTTACTCTCTTCAGATAGTGCATTTCTGGCTGTATTTGGCAGTCTCTTTATACCATAAACTAGGCCATTTAAGCTTGATCCCAGTTTGTCTCTGATGAACTTTATGGTTTGGGTCTTTACTCCCAGGTCTCGGATCCACCCTGACTTGATTTTTGTGTATGGTGTGAGATGTGGATCCTGTCTCAGCTTTCTGCAGGTAGCAGTCCAGTTTTTCCAGCACAATTTGTTGAAGAGGTTGTTATTTCCCCATTTGATTGGTTTTATTTCAGTGTTGAATATCAGTTGACCATACATAGCTGGGTCCATTTCTGGGTTCTCAATTCTATTCTGTTGGTCTATGTGCCTGTCTCTATACCAGGACCATTCTGGTTTGGTTACTACCACTATGTAGTAGGTTTTGAGTTCATGGAGTGCTATGCCTCCCACTTCATTTTTGTTTCTCAGAAGTGCTTTTCTTATTTGGGGTCTCTTGCCTCTCCAAATAAACTTGACAATTCCCCCTTTGATCTCCTTGATAAATTAATAGGGTATCTATATTGGGATTGCTCTGAACATGTAGATTGCTTTTGGTAGGATTGTCATTTTCACAATATTGAGTCTTCCTATCCACGAACAGGGCACATATTTCCACTTCTTTAGGTCTTTTATTGTATCTTGTAGAAATGTTCTGTAGTTTTCTTTGTATAGGTCTTTTGTATCTGTATTTAGGTTCACTCCCAAGTATCACAATTCTTGTGGTTGGCTATTGTAAATGGTTTTGCTTGCTTGGTTTCCTTCTCTGAGTTCTCTTTGTTACTATAGAAGAATCCCATTGATTTTTGGATATTGATCTTATATCCTGCCACTCTACGAAACTGGCCTACTAGCTCTGACAATTTGTGGGTTTTTTGGTTTTGGTTTTGTTTTTTTTTTTAGTTTTTGGGGTTTTCTGTGTATACTATCACATCATCTGCATATAGTGATAGTTTAACCATCTCTTCGCTGATCTGTGTGCCTTTTATTTCCTTCTCTTGTCTTATTGCCCTAGTAAGCACTTCCAATATAATATCGAATAGAAGTGGTGACAGTGGGCATCCTTGTCTGGTTTCTGTTCACAGCGGAAAATGCTTTTAGTCTTTCTCCATTGAGAATGATATTACCTCTTGGTTTTGCATATATACTTTTCACCATGTTGAAATTCCCTTCAATTCCAATTTTGCTGAATGTCTTTATCAGAAAAAGGTGTTGGATTTTGTCAAATGCCTTTTCTGCATCAATTGCTAAGATCATATGGTTCTTGTTATTGACTTTGTCAATATGGTGAATTACTTTGTTTTTCTTATGTTGAACCATCCTTGCACACCTGTTATAAATCTCATTTGGTCATGGTGATTTTTTTTTTTATATGCTTTTTTTATTCTGTTGGCTAGGATTTTTGAATCTATATATATTCATGAGCTATATTGGTCTGTAGTTTTCTTTCTTGGTAATATCTTTGCCTGGTTTTGATATTAGGTTTATGCTTGCTTCATAGAATGACTCTGAAAGTATTCCTTCTTTTTTAATGTTTTGAAATAATTTAAGTAGAATTGGTGATAGATCCTCTCTGAATGTTTGGTAGAATTCAGCTGTGAAGCCATCTGGACCAGGACTTTTCTTATAGAGAAGTCTTTTCAATGGCCTGTTCAATTTTTTCTTTTGTGATGGCTCTGTTCAAGTGTTCTGTATTTGTCCTTGTCAATCTGGGTAAGGCATGAGTTTCAAGGAATTTGTCCATTTCCTCTAGGTTTTCAAATTTATCGGAGTATAGCTTTTCATAGTATTCCAATATTATCAATTTAATTTCATCTGTTGTGATGTCACCTCTTTCATTTCTTAATCAAGCTATCTGTGTCTTCTCTTCTTTTTCTTTTGTTAAGCTTGCCAGTAATTTGTTAATTTTATTGACCCATTTGAAAAACCAGCTCCAGATCTTACTGATGGTTTCAACTGTTTTTCTGTTTTCTATCTCATTGATTTTAGTTCTTGAACTTATAATTTGTTTTCTTCTAGAGACTGTAGGATTAGATTGTTGATTAGATTGTTGTTCTTTTACTATCTGATGAAGGTTTTTAGTTAGATCATTAACTTTCTTCTTTCTTTTTTATTTTTGTGCCTATTGCTATGATCCCCTGTGGATTGCATATGTTGTATTTTCCTTTTATTTGTTTCAGGAAACTTTTTTATTTCATTCTTTATTTCTTTATAATCCAATCATGTTCCAGCAGAGAGTTATTCAGTTTCCACATGGATGGTTTTGTAAAATTTACTCTCCTGTGGTTAATTTCTAGTTTTATGGCATTGTGATCTGAGAAGATACTTTGTGTTATTTCAATGTTTTTTATTTATTGAGGCTTGCTTTGTGTCCTAATATGTGATCAATTCTGGAGAATGTACCATGTGCACTAGAGAAGAAAGTAAATTGAGTTTTAATTGTGAGCAGTTCTCTGAATACATCCAAAAGGTTGAGTTGGCTGATTGTATAGTTTAGACCTTCTGCATGTTGTTGAGTGTCTTTTTAGTTTACCCATCCTTTGGTGATAATGGTGTGTTCAAATCTCTTTCCACTATTGTGTTGCTGTCTGTTTCTTTCTTCAGTTCTGTTTACTGTTGTTTTATGTATTTTGCAGGTATGTGATTTGGTGAATAAATGTTGACCCAAGATTATATCTTCTTCATCTATTGTGCCTTTAATCTTTGTATGTAATGCCCTTTCTTATCTTTAATGGTGGTTTTCATTCTGAAATCTATTTTATCAGAGATTATATATTGCCACTCCTGCTTTTTTGATGTTGCCATTTGTTTGGTATATTTTCCCCCCCAGCCTTTGATTTTGCATCTGTCTTTCTCTTCTTTTTTCACAGTGTCTCTTGTAGAAAACACACTGATGGACTTTATTTTCTTATCCATTCTGCTACTCTTTTCCTCTAAATTGGTGCATTTAGTCCAGTCACATTAAGTGTGATTATTGTCAGGTCAGGTTTTACTTTTGCCATTTTGCTGTGTTTCTTTTTCTGTTGTTTCTGGTTACTATGCTCCATCCACTTTCCTTTGGTGTCTCTGTGTAAATGACTTCACTTAAAATTTCTTGTCGTTTTGGTCTTATTTTCACAAATTCCTTAAGTTCCTTCTTTTCTGCAAAGGATCTAATTTCTCCTTCACATTTGATGGAGGATTTTGCCGGGTATAGGGTCTTTAGCTGACATTTGTTTTCTTTCAACTTTCTGTATATGTCATCCCATTGCCTTCTAGCTTGCATGGTTTCTGCTGAGAAATCAAAACTTACTCTAATTGTTTCTCCTTTGTAGGAGACTCTTTTTCTTGTACTGCTTTTAGGATTCTCTTCTTATATTTTAATTTGGAGAATTTGACTGATATAGCTTCATGTTTTTCTTTTTGGGGTCTAGTCTATTTGGTGTTCACTGTGCTTCTTGAATGTGGATTTTCCCCATTCTTCAAAATACCTGGGAAGTTTTCTTCTTGAATGTCTTCTACTATCTTCTCAGTGATTTCCCTGTCACTCCCCTATTCTAGAATTCTAATCATACATATGTTTTTCCTTTTGATGTCATCCCACATGATCTTAATATTTTCTTTCTTTTCTTTATGTCTCGTCTCTGATTTTTCTCCTAATATGTTTCCAGTGAGGCTCTTGTCTTCCATCTCAGTGACTCTGTTTCATCTCCTCAGTTCTACTTTTTTGTCCTACCAGCGTGTTGGACACTTCTGCCATTTTGGTCTTAATATTCTGGATTGAATTTTCATGTTTTTCTGTTATTTCCAGTACTGTGTCGGCTGTACCTTATTTGTGTTGTGATTATTTTTAAAGTCCTTATACCTCTTTATCTATACTGTCAATTCTTTCTTCCATCTTCTGCATTTTCTTCCATAGCTGTTCAAGTTGCTCCTCATCAATCTTTTTCTTCTGGGTTGCTTTCTCTGGGGTATTTGCTCTGTTTCTGCCATCGTTTGCATCTTCTTCAGTAGCTGTTCAAATAACTTCACATCAACATATTTCTTCTGGTTCTATCTATTCGTTGGGTCTGCTTTTTTAGGAGAGGGGTTATTTTGGTTTTTCTCATGATGACTGAGGCAAACTGCTGCTTTCTTGATATTATATGAGTCCAGTAAATCTTTTCTTATTCCATAAGAATATTCTCTTAGACTTTGGTAAATATTTTGGTTTTCCCCTCTAATTTAAATAGTTGATTCATCCTTATAGATGAGGTAAGTAAGTAGAGGACTGCCTGCCCCTGAACCCTTTGTCAAGTGACATCGCCATCTCTGTCCCAAGGACGTTTACATATGTTCACACATCTGCTTCTAGGTTATATGCCCTGCCTTAACTGTGCCATTTGTCTATCTCTTAACCACTAACTGTAATTTCAGTTACTCTAGTTCCAACATATCTTGTATCTGATAGGCAAAGTCCCCTTTGCCTATACTTCATCTTTAAAATTATCTTGTTTTCTTAGCCCTTGACCTTCAGCTTACCAAGTTCTATTAACATCTCATTGGAATTTGGATTGGAGTTGTATAGAATGTATAAATAATTTGAGGAGATTGGAAGCAGGAGTGGCATCCACTTCCTAAACAACATGCCTCTAGAAACACTATAAACTTTGAGAAACAATAGTTATCAAAAGGATTCAGGTCTTTTGTTCATAGAGTCTCTATGAGTTGTGCTCAACTCAAAGATAATTAACAACAGCAATATCTTTATAGAATTGAATTTCCTCGTTCACAAATATAGCATTGCTTTACATTTATTTAAGACTATTTTGTGTCAACAAAATTTTTTAAGTGTTCCAGAAGCTCTCTTGCACATTATCCTTGACCCTTGAACCGATAGTTTTGAACATGTGTGTCCACTTAACTCTGGGTTAAAAACAAAACAAACCATCATGTGGCACTGATAATCTCTATGTGAACAGTTCATCTCTTTGGAATTTGCTTATTTTATTAAAAAGTGATCACTTGAGTTTCTTGTGTGTTTTTCCACATCTTAGAGCAGTACTGTAAACCTTGGGACCTTGAGACTCACAGATTGCTGGGTGATGCTGTAAATGCTTCTACACATCAGAGACAAATCAGCATTACAAAGAGGTTGCTTTTTGTGACAATTGAGGTCTGCAGCTGTGTTCGCTCACAGTTTCAAGATAAATTAATCCAGAAGTCTCTGGTTTTTCTGTGACTTCTTAAGTAGAATCCATATACTATTTTCCTTTCTATCTTTTTGTAATTAGATTATTAAAGACTATGAATTTACCTCTGCATACAGCTGAGGCCACAACTGATGGATTTTGATTACACCACAGTTGTTGTTATTGTTGTTTGCCCTCAAGTTGAACCCAACCCATAGTTGGTTGGACCCTTCAGCAGCTTTGCAGAGGCAGTAAACCACAAGAAAGGTGGTTATCCATCCATCTGTGGAACAATTGGTGGATTCAAACCGCACGCCTTTGGGTTTGCAGTGTGGCTTCTTACCACGAGACCACCATAGTTGGTGGAGCTGTTTTCAGGCATCTTCCAAGCAGCCCTTTCACCTGCATTAGGTTCTTTTCCCACCTTATAGCTGATTGAGTTTTTGGCTTTTTATAGCCCATCCTCCACAGTTTTATTGTGGGCCAGGTTGCTTCTCCCACCTAGGCCATTTGAGATTTTCCTTCATCTTGATGTGGAATGCCTGTTCCACACAGCACTTTCTGAAACCAGTGTTTTCCAGCTCCCAGCTGGAGGTGAGATGTGTTTGAGAAGTTGGAAGGAGGTCCATACAGTCCACAGGTGTGAATGTTCTGGAAAGCACTGTAGACCTAAGAGTGGTGGCTCCCCCTGGTCATCCAGAAGTCTGTGGACATCAGTGGAACTCATATTCATACCAATAAATACTAAGTATTCAGAAATGATGGGCTTAGTGGAGATCTGGAAATGCAGTCTCATTCCTACCCTAGGGAAGATTGTGTGGGAAAGAGTGTCAGAGAGAGTTGGACAGCAGATTCAGGAGTGAGGAGAGAGATTATTTGCATCTGATGTGGGTGGTGTCTATTGGGCTGCACAGTGGTGGTGGGGAATGCTCTATCCAAGGTATCAGTGATGCCTTCTCCCATGGCCAGCAACCAGGCAGATCTGCACAAGGGTGGTAGGGCTTCCTGTGTCAGTCCACACTCTACATGCTGTACTTGGGTTTCAGATGCTGATACCACTGAGGCCAAGGAACTCATGGACCTTCCAGAGCACATCGTTGACACTGCTTGCAAGGTGTGCCAGACCTACCTGGAGCAGCTGGAGCACATGGACATTGACACGGCCGAAGATGCTGCTAAAGACCTCACCGAGGACGAATGGAATGACCTGACCCAGCAATACTACTCCCTTGTGCAGTAAGACACATTACTGACTGAGCCTTTGGGTACACTGCATGTCACATGGTACTCGGGTTCAGGGATAACTCACGAAGATGGAGCCTGTAGAAGACCTAGGGTGCATGTCTGGCCACCTGGGGTACCTTGGCTACCTGCTAGTTATCGGTAGGTGACATCCTTTTGGGAGTCACCTTTGCCTAACAGCTGTATACACCTTCCAAACACCTTTATAGTCATTCGACACAATTAAATGGACTCAGTTAAATCTGACTCAGCTACCACTAGTTCAACACAACAGAACACTGCTTGGTCTCCAGGGAAATCGCCTTAAAAATTCCTTTTGTGTCTATCATATAGTTTGAGACCCCGTGCCAGTCAGATAGGATGGAGCGATCACAGTCCTACATGACATGCTCTACCACAATCCTACAGTACAGCTCTCATGGCAGTCCCATAGGACAGACCAAACTGCTTTCCTGTGTGTTTGCACCATTTTATGCTCCCATCAGCAGTGTATGAGAGTCGTGTTTTCTCCCCATGCCCACCAGCATGTGTTGTTTCCTGTCCTGCTATACGTGGCTTCGCTGCTGGGCTGAGATGATATATCACTGTTGTTTTGATTTGCATCTCATAGTTCGTTGTGTGTTGTGTTGTTACCCAAAGGTTGTGAGTTCAGCTGTAGAAGAAGAAGAAGATGGACAATCTCCTCAGTGCAGTTTATAGCCTTGCAAATCCAGGGGAGGGTTCACCATGAGGCAGAACCCACTTTGCGGGCAAAGTGAGTGTGACGGCTAATCGCCTGTAGCGCCTCTGTGTATTTCTTGGCTGCCTAAATGTCATCTTTAGTGAAAGATCTTTTCACATTCTCCGCCCATTTTGTAATTGGGTCCTTTGCTTATTGAGTTGTTGGGGTTTTCTATAAATTTTAGAAATGGGTCTCTTGTCAGATATACCATAGCCAAATATTTTCTCCCCAGTATATAGATTTCCTTTTTACTTTTCCTTTTCTTAAAAAGTCTTCATTTTTAGGAGGCTTCAATAGTTTGGGTTATTATGGCAAACAAGGCATGCTATCCTGCATTGGCACCAGGGACATCATTGCTGAAGTCAGATGGAACCTAGCTGAAAGCAGAGGGTACCAGAAGAATGTCTATTTGTGCTTTATTGACTGTGTAAAGGCATTTGACTGTTGGGTCATAACAAAGAATGGGAATCCCAGTACACTTGCTTTTATTAATGTGAACTTATACCTAGACCGAGAAGCTGTTCTGTGAACAGAGTAAGGGAACACTGTTGTTATGTGTTGTCAAGTCACCTGTGACCCATAGCGACCCTATGTACAACAGCTCTGAAGCCCGCCCTGTCCTGAGCCAGTCTCACTGACTCCAACACACCTACACTCATTGCCCAAGTTATTGTATCAATCCATCTCATCTAGGGTCTTTCTCTCCCGTGCTCTCTCTCCACCCTTCCAAGCATGATATCCTTCTCCACATGTCCAAAGTACATGAGACAGAGCTTCCAAATCCTAGTCTCCAAGGAGAAACTTGGTTTCACCCTCTCAAAGATAGATCTATTTGTTTGCTTGGCAGTTCATGTATGTTCAAGACTCTTCTCCAACATCACAATTAAAAGACATCTGTCATCTTTTGTCATTGTCCAGTTCTCTGATGCCTAGCAAGTAATAGTGAAGACTATGGCCTGGATTAGGTGCACTTTAGTCTCTAGACCGATATCATTGCTTTTCAGTACTCTGGAAAGGTCCCTGACAGCACATTTCCCCAATGCGGTTAGTCTTTTGATTTCCTGACTGCTCGTTCTAAGAGTGTTGATTGTGGAGCCGAGCAAGCTGTAGTTGTTAACAACTTCAGTCTCTTCTCCATCTATCATGATGCTGCCAGTTGGCCTTGTGGTGAGAATCTCTGTCATTTTGATGCTGAGCTTCAATCCATATTGAAGACTATAGTCCGTGACCTTCTGTAGCAAGCACTTCAGGTCCTCCTCAGTTTCAGCAAGCAAGGTTGTGTCATCTGCATAACATAGGTTGTTGATGAGTCTCCCTCCGATCCTGATGCCACACTTCTCCTCATAAAGCCAAGCCTCCTGAATGGTCTGTTCTGCATATATATATTGAAAAGATATGGTGACAGGGTCCATCTGTGATGCACCCTTTTCCTGATTTTGAACCATGCATTGTTTCCCTGCTCTGTTCTGAGGACTGCTTTCTGGTCTAACTATAGGTTTTGCATAAGCACAATCAGGTGTTCTGGGATTCCCATTCTCCTCAAGGTTAATGACAATTTACTGTGATCCACGTAGTCAAATGCCTTTGCATAATCAATGAAACACAGACATTCCTCTGGTACTCTCTGCTTTCTGCCAAGAGCCATCTGACACTGGCAATAATGTCTCTAGTGCCACCACCTCTTCTAAACCCACCTTGTATTTCTAGTAGTTCTGTCAGTGTACTGTTCCAGTCGTCCCTGGATAATCTTCAGCAGATTTTGCTAGTGTGTAATATTAGTGATATTGTTCTATAATTTGCGCACTCTGTTGGGTCACCTTTTTTTTGGAATGGGAGTAAATGCAGACATCTTCCAGTGTGTTGGCCAGGTGGTTGTCCTCCAGATTTCTTGGCACAACCTGGTGAGCACATCCAGAACAGCTGCTGTTTGTTGAAATATGTCAGTTGGTATTCTATCAATTCCTGGGGCTTTATTTTTTGCCAAGTCCTTCAAAGCAGCCTGAACTTCCTTCATCACTATTGCTTCTTGATCATATGTTGTTTCTTGAAATTCTTCTGAGTCAGCCAATTATTTTTGGTATAGTGACTCTGTATACTCCTTCCATCTTCTTTCAATGCCTCCTGAATCATTTAATATTCTTCCCATTGCCTCCTTAAGCATTGCAACTCGCAGCTTGAATTTGTTCTTTAGTTCCTTCAGCTTCAGAAATGCTGAGCAGGTTTGGCTCTTTTGATTTTTCAATTCCAGCTCCTTCCTCTTTTCATTGTAATACTTTGTCTTCCCGAGCTGCCCTTTGAAATCTTCTGTTCAGCTCCTTCTTGATTTCTTCCCTTTGCTTTGGCTTCTCTGCGCTCTAGTGTAATCAATATTCAAAGTTTCTTCTGACATCCCTTTTTGTATTTTCTTCTTCATCCTTCTTTATTATGACCTTTTGCATTCTTCATGAATGATATTCTTGATATCTTCCCTCAGCTCATCTGGTCTTCTTCATTAACTAGTGTTCAAGGCTCAAACCTGTTCCTGAGTTGTAAATTCAGGGAGACTCAAGGTCAAATTTTGATTCCTGTGGATATGATTTAACCTTCTTTAGATTAATTTGAACTTGCATATGAATAGTTGATGGTCTGTTCCACAATCAGCACCTGGCCTAGTTTTCTAGTTTTCTTGATATTGAACTTCTCCAATGATTCCTTCCACAGATGTAATCTGTCTGATTCCTGTGTATACCATCAGGTGAAATCCATGTGTTAAAGCCCGTGTTTGTTTCTTACAAAAGACATTTGCTGTGAATAAGTCATTGATTGTGCAGAATTCTATCATTCTATCCCCAGCCTAATTTTTGTCACCAACTCCATATTTTCCTTCTTCCTTGTTCCCAACTTTCACATTCCAGTCACCTGTTATTATTAATGCATTTTGATTACATGTTCAATCAATCTCTGACTGCAGCAGTTGGTAGAAATCAACCATTTCCTTCTCTTTGGCTCTGGTTGTTGGAGCATAA